TGTCCGGAAGCCTGCTTGAGCCGACTGCTGTAGTTTTGAGATGGGGATGGGGATATTCACCTTGGCAAAGCGATAAAGTTGAATGGAAATGGGTAATACAGGATGAATCGCAATTTTTTGATGACATTGTTTTATCCACAGCTTGAGGATGATATTTACAGAATTTTTTTTGCGCAAAAATTGCAAGCAATATTGGAGATGACCAAAAAATCCAATCTTTTGTCAAAAAAGTCCGTTCGCAAAGTCGCTTGATTCATTTTTGGCGTTTGCACTGTTCGAAAAAACTCAGGGTGCGAGCGACAGCCCAAAAAAGCCTTTTGCACGGTGCAAAAAGCAACAAATTGCACAGTGCAAAGAGAAATTTTATTTTTGCACAGCGCATGTCGCGAAACTCACTCCAGCGACTTTACGAACGGACTAGTAGATCGAAAAGCAAGGTCTAGTACACCCAAAGGGCCACATAGTAATCTAGCAAGTTGAATTTGTACTAGTCCGTTCGTAAAGTCGCTGGAGTGATTTTTGCGACATGCACTGTGCAAAAACAAAAGTTCAATTTGCACTGTGCAATTTCTCGCTTTTTGCACCGTGCAATAGGTTTTTTTGGGCCGTCGCTTGGGCTCTGACTTTTTCTGCACAGTTCAAGCTTCAGCTGAGATATTCAAAGTTCTTTAGATCTCACAAAAATGAGTTTTTTGTAACCTCGAATCTTTTAAGTCATCTTTTTGGGAATATGCAAATTCGCACGCGAAGTCGTGACATCACATTTCTTTCGTATTTTACCCTCAAACTTGTAATTTATCCTTCAACATGCGTAGCTGCTGATCCGAAACGCTCTGTCCAACTGCCACTTATCCACCTTATCCCCCCACCTCTTCGCAAAAGAACATTCCCCCCTTCGAACATTCGCGTCGTCTTGTCAGCACAGCACGCTTGGCCGGCTGGATGGGCGGAGGGGTTAAGGTGTTTGTCCCGACAAACAGCGCCCCGCCCGATCCTTGACAAGCAGGATCAGCGGGGATTCAGCGCCCTCGACCCTTCCTAATTATAACGCAGTTTTAAGTGGGCTTTTTGCGGTCGAAATTTTCGTTCGGGGTGTGGCCAACGGAACGGCCGCGGAGAGTGGAGTCTGCAATGAAATTCAAGCGTAATTTTGAATGGGCTATTCTGCAAAGCCAGGAGCAAAACTGAGGTTAAAAATCAAGGAGTTTGGAAGCTTCTAGAGGCCATTACAAACCCTTTACTTTTAAGTGGTACTAACCCTAAAGTAATATCGAGAAATCATCCAATTCTACTTTTTTATCACCTTGTATTAAAATCGCTGCATTCGCGTATTGTTCATTATTAAATTTACTTCATTTTCATTACACATTTAATAATTTTCTTCTATTTTCAGCCTCCGATATTATCCATGAAAGCTCAAGACCCTGGATTTCCAAAAAATCCCATTTTTGAATTTCGCCGCAGGGTTTTTGGATAACTCTTGATTCGGATCAAAGCTAATGACTTGTTCTATAATTGTCATTAAAATTTTCGTCCTTTCTTAACCTTAACCCATCAAAAAATAGCATCAAATCTAACCCTTCTAATCCAAAAATCGGAAAAATCATTTTTTCCTTCTGATCCATCTCAAATTTCATTCCCCCTGCCAAAGTCCATTCGATCTCCCTTGTCGGACCCATAACAATATGATAATTATCGCAAGTCCGTCTTGAATCGGATCCAAAGCCGTTTTTTTCGCGGCTTGGTCAGCCCGTTTCGCCTGACCCCTGCACCCACCCACTGGCCGTTTGTTCTGAGACGTTTTCAAAGGCACAATTCAAGTCAACTGTTATTACAATATGCGCTGTTTGATGAATTGTGGTCTGTACTTAATGGGCTACTTATTTTCCGGTCTTAGCGAAAATATGATGACGTTTTTTGGTGAAAAAAAGAGTTTAAAGTTGTGTTTTGTTGAATTCCAGATGGAGCGATGACCGGTGATTGCTTAAAGATGATTTGTGAATCAAAATACAGCTTGAATTTTAACCTGAGAGCATTTTTTGGCCCATTTTTTAACCCATATTATATCTAGTACCTTCCCCATGATACGAGGTCCACAACTTTTTACGTAGGCCATCGACGGACCCAAAAATCACTTCAGGATCAGATATAATCTCTATTCAGTTGATGTCATAAGTTTTTAGCCCCTGTTAACTCTCAAGACTCCCTAGGATCCCTTTTCTCCACTTGACCCTCAAGTTGAACCGGTATTGAAGCCCAGACGATTTTCCCGTCCCTTGAATATTCCTGACCCTTCATAAGCCTTGAAAACAATACAGAACGTCTCGAGAAGACGTCAAAGGTCTAAAGTCTTCTCAAGTTTATGTCATACCGATCTGTTTTCCCTCTAAATCTCTCAATTTCCCTTTGTATTTCATTTAGTTCAATTTTTTTCGTCTTTTTCTTTGATTTCTCCTCAATTTCAACGTTTTCTAGCTCTCTAACTGTCTCAATTTTTTGGCCGTGCAGCTCAAAATGTCTAACAGCCCTGTTAAAATCGTCTACTCTCGATTTTAGCTCAAATTCTCTTGAAATTTTTCGTTTTTTGCCTTTTCTATCGGATTTTTTGGTTTTCCGCGATATTTCAAAATTTCTCGTTTTCTCAGCGGCTCTCTCAAAGAACTGCGATCTTTTTTCTTCTTAACAAACCTCTTTGTCTACACTTCTCAAGGCCCTCTTAATTTTTCTCTCGCCCTCTTCCATCACTCTCAAATTTCGCTTCTCTCTAACCCCTCTCTAACCACTCTCCTCATCCTTCTCACTCTTTTTTCCTTTCTCTAACCGCTCTCTTTCTCCACCACACTCTCTAAAATCCTCTCTTCATCCTCCAAACTCTCTAAATTCATCTCTCCGCCCTCCGCAAATCCCCTCATCACTGGGCTGTAGGCGATTTTTGAAAGCAAAGCACATCTCATCCCCACTCTTTTGCTGGCTGGGAAACCCGAAGGCGGCACCCAAAACACTCTCACCTCCTCCCTCTAACCACTTCAGGGCCGGGAAAATGCAAAGATCTCGAATTCTGGGGCCCCCCGCCGGAAGGACATATTTTGCAAACGCATTCGGAAATTTGAGCACCCGAAAGTTTTTTCGGCGAATTTGGAAAACGCGGTGAATTTACTGCAAATTTTGGGTAAAAAAAGGTAAAATTGAGGATTTCGCTATCAAAAAAAATTTTTTTTTTCTTTTTTGAATGTAAATTCAAAAATTCACACTCAAATCTCCAGTTTTTTTGCTATTTTAAATTCATACCCTAAGGCACTCGCACGTAAAAGTTCCCAGAAGTTGGGAGAATTTGCGCAATTTCTGTCTATGTTATGGACAGGTGAAAAGTTTGGCCTCCAGAGAACTTGAACAAAATCTGGAGTCGGCCAGAACAAGTCTGTTATTCGTTGTAGATGCTAAGATGTCTGTATCCAGGTGATGCGAGAAAATTGGTCTCAAGGGAAAATTTTGGAGATAAAATGACTATAGAAGTCGCCGTTAGGATGGAAAACAATCCTCGAGATGGTTTTTGGGATAAGAATTTAGCTGCAAAGAAAAAAAAATCGAACGCACTGTGCGATTTTTCGACTGCACTGTGCAAGGATTTCTTTTGCACAGTGCACTCTGCTTCTTTGGCCAAGGCGTCCAAAAACTGGCTAAACCCGTCGCTTAGGCTCTGATAAACAATCTCCAAAAAAAATTTGAGATTACCTTTCATGTACGTTACGCTAAAACCTAACAGTTTCTCCCGCACAGTGCGATTTTTCGACTGCACTGTGCATTTTTTTCCTTTTGCACAGTGCGCTCTGCTTCTTTAGCCAAGGCGTCCAAAAATAGACTAGACTTGTCTATTAGGCCCTGAAAAACAATCTCCAAAAAAATTTAGAGATTAACTTTCATTTACGATATGCTACAACCTAAAATTTCCCCTGCACAGTGCAAAATCCCCCAGCGCACAGTGCAAGTTCCATTTTCGGCGAAAGAACGGGAGATTCCTGAATAAATTTACTCAAAAACATATCGGATTTCCCCTTCTCCGCTTTACTGCATAATCCCCCCGCTAGATTATGCAAAATTGCGGCGATAAAAAGCGAAAAACGCCAGACACGGTGCATTCGGCAATTATAATATCGTTTTTGCAAATTGCACCACTTCCTCGGCGCACTCAGCCTTCCGCGCTTCCCACCACACTCCTAAAACCTTGTGCTGACGTCTGCATTCATTCGGTTCCGAGGTTTCGAGAACCTTCGTCTCGCGTTTTGGCATTCCGTCGCAGGTCGGTTGGCGTTTTTTATTTTTCGTCTGGTGCAAAAAATGATGTTTGCTTTGCTGGAAGGTGAGGAAATTATGAGCTTGCGGGTGGTTTGGAGGTCGGTTGATATTGAATACATATTCAATATCAATTTGGCGAGGTTTAGGCCAGCGGTTTTCGGTTTACAAGCGCTTTTTCCGGGTGGGAGCGGAGGAATTGTAAGATTTTAGGCAGTAGACAAACAAAGGTGCAGACGGGCTGAGTCAAACTGCTTTCAGCTCTCTCCCAGAACATTCTTCGGCTGGCCGTTAAGTGATTTTTGTTAATTCGTTAAAAAACATGGAGTTTTACCTTATACTTGACACCTCCAGACCTTGACCTACTTTTGATATTTCTAGAAGGAGTTTTTGACGGTTTATATTCGAACGTGGTCTGTTTGACTGCCCTTGATGTCTGCTATTTTTTACAAGCTTATAGTTTAGCTGAAACTTTCATTTTTAATCCAATATTATCTTAGACCTGACCTTTAGCAAGATTTGTCTGCGAATTTCGGATTTCCAAAGGAAATTGTGAAATTTGCGCCTGTTCCGTTCCCAAGAGCCTTTCTCTTGAATCCTCGGAAGTTTCCCACGTTTGCATTTGACTGTTACCTTTTTACCGCGTTATTTTAGTACACGTGGCACTCCCGAAGTTGAGTGAAATTACTGTCTGGTTTCAGGGCGTATTAATGGAGGACGCCCACGCCAAGAGCGCCGATGAGGTGCTCCGGTTCTTCGGGACCGGGCCCGACGGTCTCAGTGAGGATCAAGTAGAGCGATTGAGGCAAAAATATGGTCCCAATGGTAAGATTTTCCAGTTCTTTTCGAATTTTAGATACTAACTCGAATTGTTTGGCAAATTTGAACCGAATATGTTGCAGAAATGCCCACTGAGGAAGGAAAGAAGCTCTGGGAGTTGATCCTCGAGCAGTTCGACGATCTGTTGGTCAAGATCCTCCTCCTCGCCGCCATCATCTCCTTCGTGCTGGCTTTATTTGAAGAGCACGAAGATCAGACGAGCGCCGTCACCGCCTTCGTCGAGCCGTTTGTCATCCTCCTCATCCTGATCGCCAACGCCACGGTGGGTGTGTGGCAGGAGAGAAACGCCGAGTCCGCCATCGAAGCCCTCAAGGAATATGAACCGGAAATGGCCAAGGTGATCAGAGCCGGCAAGCACGGTATTCAGATGATCCGAGCCCGCGAACTTGTGCCTGGAGACTTGGTTGAGGTGTCTGGTAAGATTTTTTATCATTTGTTCTGTTAAAATTTAGGCAACGGACTTCAATTATATTGCACTTGATATTTGATGTCTAAATTTTCAAAAACTTGAGAGTTTTGATAAAAGTTTGGTTGAAAAATACTAGCAATTGGTTTTTTAGTCGGAGACAAGATCCCCGCCGATCTGCGCCTCACCAAGATCTACTCCACCACCATCAGAATTGATCAGTCCATTCTGACTGGTGAGTCGGTCTCCGTGATCAAGAATTTGGACACCGTCCCCGATCCCCGCGCCGTCAACCAAGACAAGAAGAACTGTCTGTTCTCGGGAACCAACGTGTCTTCCGGAAAGGCCCGTGGTATTGTTTTCGGAACCGCTTTGAACACCGAGATTGGAAAAATCCGCACTGAAATGGCCGAAACTGAGACCGAAAAGACGCCACTGCAACAAAAGTTGGACGAATTCGGAGAACAACTCTCCAAAGTGATCTCCATCATCTGCGTTGCCGTCTGGGCCATCAACATTGGGCATTTCAACGACCCCGCGCATGGTGGATCTTGGCTGAAAGGAGCTATTTACTACTTCAAGGTGAGGAAATTTACTATTTGTTTGGTGTTTAGATGAAATTAGAGATGATAATAGAGGATTTGAGATGAATTTTTGGCCAAAAAAATCGAAGATTTTTGCCTAGTGTAATATAAAATTTGTCAAGTATAACATAATTTTCGTTTAGATCGCCGTCGCTCTTGCTGTCGCCGCCATCCCAGAAGGTCTGCCAGCCGTTATCACCACCTGTTTGGCCCTCGGAACCCGTCGTATGGCCAAGAAAAACGCCATCGTCCGCTCCCTCCCATCCGTCGAAACTTTGGGCTGTACGTCGGTGATTTGCTCCGACAAGACTGGTACCCTCACCACCAACCAAATGTCCGTCTCGAAGATGTTCACGGTCCGCGACGCCTCCAGTGACATCAAATTCGAGGAGTTCACCATCTCCGGATCCACCTATGAGCCAGTCGGCCAGGTTTTCCACAACGGCACCCCCATCAACTGCGCCAATGGAGAATTCGAGTCGCTCACAGAGCTCGCCACAATTTGTGTGTTGTGTAACGACTCTGCTGTGGATTATAATGAGACCAAACATTGCTATGAAAAAGTTGGAGAAGCCACCGAGACCGCATTGGTTGTCCTGGCCGAGAAAATGAACGTCTACGGCACCCAGAAGTCGGGCCTCTCTCCCAGAGACCTGGGCAACGTCTGCAACCGCGTCATCCAGCAGAAATGGAACAAGGAATTCACACTAGAGTTCTCCCGTGACCGCAAGTCCATGTCGTCGTACTGCACCCCCGCCTCGGGCGGATCCGGCGCTAAAATGTTCGTCAAAGGCGCACCAGAAGGTGTCCTGAACAGATGCACCCATGTAAGAGTAAATGGACAGAAATTGCCCCTGACCCCGGCCATGACTCAGAAGATTGTCGACCAGTGTGTCCAGTACGGAACTGGCCGTGATACCCTTAGATGTTTGGCGTTGGGAACTGTGGATTCACCACCAAGCCCGTCGAGGTAGGAGGGGAGGAAAAATAGTATAAAAAATAAAAATTTGAAGGGCAAATGGGGAGTTGGACGGGAAATTAGGAGGTTTGGATATTACTTTAGGCAATTTTGCGGATTTTTTGAGTTTTTTGAAGGAGTTGAAGTTTGAAAAATGTTCTGTGGGCCACTACAGGGTCTCGAAAAGGATTTTCATCTTGATTTTTGTACAGGGGACTTGAGTTTTTACCTAAAATAAGGTCTTTTGGATATTACTTTAGGAAATTTTGGTTGATTTTTGAGTTTTGTTTATCTTGAATAAGCCTCAAAAAGTTGTTCAGAAGGCTATTTAGGAGTCTCTTATAGGATTTAGAAACTAATTTTTATTGGGTATCTCTAAATTTACTCAACTTTTTTTCAGCATGAACCTCGAAGACTCGAACAAATTCGCCGAGTACGAAAGAGACATTACCTTCGTCGGAGTGGTCGGCATGTTGGATCCCCCTCGTATGGAAGTTTCGGGCTCCATTGTGTCATGCCGCGAAGCCGGCATCCGCGTCATCATGATCACCGGAGACAACAAGAACACAGCCGAAGCCATTGGACGCCGAATCGGGCTGTTCACCGAGTCCGAAGACACGTACGGCAAGTCCTACACTGGCCGCGAGTTCGACGACCTTCCCCCAGAGCAGCAATCGGACGCGTGCCGCCGCGCCAAACTGTTTGCGCGCGTGGAACCCGCCCACAAGTCGAAGATTGTGGAGTATTTGCAAAGCCACGGCGAAATCACCGCCATGACCGGCGACGGTGTGAACGACGCCCCCGCCCTGAAAAAAGCGGAAATCGGAATTGCCATGGGCTCGGGAACAGCGGTCGCCAAGTCCGCCGCCGAAATGGTTCTCGCCGACGACAACTTCTCCACCATTGTCGCCGCCGTGGAAGAAGGACGTGCCATCTATAACAACATGAAGCAGTTCATCCGCTACCTGATCTCCTCCAACATTGGCGAAGTGGTCTCCATCTTCATGGTCGCCGCTCTCGGCATCCCCGAAGCGCTCATCCCCGTTCAGTTGCTCTGGGTCAACCTTGTGACTGATGGCCTACCAGCCACCGCCCTTGGATTCAACCCTCCCGATTTGGACATTATGGACCGACCACCCAGGTCCGCCACCGAAAGCTTGATCTCCAAGTGGTTGTTCTTCCGTTATATGGCGATTGGAAGTGAGTGGAGGGGGTTTTAAGGGGCCTTGGGATATTGTAGTAGATGGTGTGTGGGAGGAGGGGAATTGGGCATAGTGGAAAGTTGAGGTGGTTCAGGTGGAGAAAAAGGACTGAATTAGATTTAGTGGGGCATAATTTAGATGTGGGAATGATTTTTGGGGCAATTTTGACATGGGGTGACATTTTATACGATAAATTTTCTTTTTGAATTTTTGATGAAAATAGATAAAGTTTATTGGATAAAAAGGGCATAATTAGATGTAATAGGGCCTAGTGGAGTTGTGGGAATGAGTTTTGGAGTAATTTTGGCATGGGCGACATTTTATACGATAAAAAATTTCTTGGAATTTTGATGGAAATTGATATAGTTAGTGGGATAAAAAGGACTGAATTAGGTTTAATAAGGCCTAGTGGAGGTGTGGGAATGTTTTTGAGTCTAATTTTGACATGGGGCGACATTTTATACAATAATTTTTTTTTTGCGTTTTTGATCAAAATAGATAAAGTTAATGTCTAAGATAAATAAAAATGGAAGAAAAAACGTCTAAAACACCTATTAAGTAGATTTACACTCGAAATGCGTCGGTATAAAAATTTTGGGCACAAAATTTGACAAAAGTTATATTCACCCTGCCACTTTCAGCCTATGTCGGTGTTGCCACCGTCGGAGCGTCGATGTGGTGGTTCCTGCTCTACGAGGAGGGTCCTCAAATCAGCTACTACCAACTCACACACTGGATGCGCTGCGAGATCGAGCCCGAGAACTTTGCGGACCTGGATTGCGCGGTGTTCGAGGATAACCACCCGAACGCGATGGCGCTCTCCGTTTTGGTGACCATCGAGATGCTGAACGCGGTGAACTCGCTGTCCGAGAACCAGTCCATCCTGAAGATGCCGCCGTGGACCAACATCTGGCTGTGCGCCGCCATCGCCCTGTCCATGTCGCTGCACTTTGTGATCCTGTACGTGGACATCATGTCCACCATCTTCCAGATCACCCCACTGTCGGTGGTGGAGTGGATCGCGGTGCTGAAGATCTCGCTGCCCGTCATCCTGCTCGATGAAGTCCTCAAGTTCATCGCCAGAAACTATGTTGAAGGTTGGTTTGGGATTTTGAGGATTTTTTTTGGATTGTTTTTCATTTTTGGAGAGCTTTGCCATGGATAATATAAAAATTTTTTTTGAATTAACCAGAATGGGAATATTTTCTTGGTTCCCAAACGTTTTCTTTGGATTTTTGACTAATTCTGGGTGCTTTTGACAAAGATGCCTGAGGGCATGCCTAATTTGGTGAAGGAATTTAACGACTGCTTAGTTTTTTTTTTATAAAATTTTTGGCGAAATTTTTGGTTTTCTAGCCGAAAATAAGATGATTTGAAGGGAAATTAAAGAGGAAAGTGGATGAGAATGCTAGAAAAAAGTGTTTTTCCATGTCCTGTCCGTGTCCGGCCGCGCGCCAGAAATGTCCGAAAAGAATGAAATTTCCGCCCCTAAAACTATGAACACACTAACTTTTCCCCCTAAACCTTTGTGCTTGATTTTTAGACCAAAAATCCGCCCTGGAACAGCTGCAACAGCACGAAGCGGAGGTGGAACGACGGCGACAAGGCATCAAGAAGATCCGCCCGTCGGCGGAACCACCCAAGAAACACCGCCGGAACCCGTGGTTCTGGCCGCAGTTGGCCCTGTTTTTCGTCGCCATCGGCGCCTACTTTTACTTCATTCTCGCGCCGTACGGCGCCGAACTCTCACACGCCGCTGGCATACGACAAGGCGGACCGAACGTCAACTTTTTCAAACATAAAATCGAACTTTGAAGTGATCTTTAACTAATGGGTATTCTGAGAAATGTATCCCTCCCGAAAATGGCTGAAAAAAGAATTTTGTTTTGAGGTTTTTTAAGTGGAAATTGAAGGTTTAGATAGAGGCTGAATTACTAATTGTTTTTATGAAAATATTTGGGATTTGTTGAGGTCTGAAGTTGACCCGATCCAGTGGCAAAAACGTATCATTTTACATCTGGGAAGTATCAAAAAATGTGGCAAAATACCCCCCTCTCCAAGTGAAAAAACTCTGTTTTGAAATCGGAGTTTTTCACTTGGAGAGGGAGCTACAGTGGGGGACCTGATCCAGTGGCAAAAAACGTATAGTTTTGCATCTCGGAAGTATCAAAAATGTGGCAAAATACCTCCCTCTCCAAGTGAAAAAACTCCGGTTTCAAAAGCCCACCCACTCTTTTTGTGAGGCGACCTTCAAAACGGAGTTTTTTCACTTGGAAAGGGAAGGATTTTGCCACATTTTTGATACTTCCCAGATGCAAAGTGGTACGTTTTTTGCCACTGGATCAGGTCCCTCACTGTACCTCCCTCTCCAAGTGAAAAAACTTCGTTTTGAAGGCCCCATTTCCCTCACAAATAAAGATGTGAGGGAAATGGGCGCGCTTTTGAAGCCTGAGTCTTTTCACTTGGAGAGGGAGGTATTTTGCCACATTTTTTGATGCTTCCCGGATGCAAAATGATACGTTTTTTGCCACTGGATCAGGTCCGCCACTGTCGAGCACTGTTTTGAGACCGTAGCGGACTGTTTCGGACCTTATTTTAGGCAACAAAGGGGGTTTCAGCCATTTTCCCGCTCAATTTCCATTTTTCTTCTCCGTGTCCGGCCTTGTTGTGCTGATTAATAGTTTATTCAGGACTAATGGACTGGTCTCTGTCTTGTCTCTCGTTCTGTAAGTTATTTTTTGTTGGTCATAAAATCTTATTGTATTGAGATTCACTTGGATTTTCGGATTTTTTCGACTTTTTTATGCAATTTTTTGGGCGAAAAAGTTTGTAAAAAGGTGATCATAGGCATCACTGAGGATTTCAGAAGGGTGAAAATAAATTTGGAGAGGGATTCAGGATTGTTTTGGCGGTTCAAAACGCGATTTTGATCAAATTTTAGCTAAAATAAGGTAAATTTTGTCGAATTTTGGTCTAAAATAAGGTCGTAAGTGCCCTGAAATAGTTGTGGAGCCTTGATAAGCCTTTGAATTGTCTTTTTGGATCTTTTTGCCCCAGGGTTTTTAGAAAAATCGACTTCCAATTGGTCCGAAATCAAATTCCGTCTAAATTAATGTTTGTTTAGTCTAAATCAGCACAAAATATTGTGATTTGTTTGTTGTTTTTAAGTCATAATAAACTAAAAATGTTAACGAAAGAGTTTCCAATATGATTTGACAATGGTTGGCTAATTTTTTTGATGATTTTTTGTCATTTTTTGCCTAGTATAACATGTTTTTGCTCTGATTTTTTGTTTTTCCACGCTTTGCCCCTGCTTCAGCAAGGTTAATGCTTCAGAATTTGAATATTGAATGTGCTGTGTGTTTAGAGAGAGATTTAGAAAGTCATCATTTTGAGATTTGAAAAATTCTAGAAAATCCGTCATCCTGACGAGGGAAAAAGAGTAAATATGATAATTTTTGGACTTGAAAATTTTTAATAACTAGTAGAATGACTCGACAATTCGTATTTTAAAATGAAAATCTTTGAATTTTTCACCTAAAAGATGTCATCATGACGGATTTTTTGGAAGTTTTGTAAAAACGAAAATTTCGCCCTAATTTTAGGTTTGATGTGGAAAATAACATTTGAAGTGGAGGTAAAAGGTTCGATAGGCGTATTTTAACCGTATTCAATTTCAGTTTCCCCACTTGAGGCGGCCAAAAAGAAGAACCAGTAAACCAAAAACAAATGATGTCACCAAAAAACTTTTGATCCAACTCTCAACGAAAACTCAACTCTTGTTTGGTAACGAATCTAGGTCCCCTTTTTCGTGTAAAATACTCTTTCATCGCCCCCGTTTCGTCTTGTTTGTTTTAAATGGGTATTCTAGCAGCCTAATAACGTTTGGCATACGATTTTCGACCGGTAAAATTTTTTTTGCACCCTCGAAATTTTGACATTCTTTTTTTCGCAACCAAAAGGACGCAGATTTCCCAAAATTACCGCTTCTTTTTGAAGTTTTCATTTTGGCGAGCTGCGCCCGAACAAACTCAAAAAACCCGCCGGAAATCGGTCAAAATGCCGTGGCAACCCTAGGTAGGACTATATTACGTCAGTATCCACGTTTTTTCTCAGATTTTCAATGAATTTTTGAAATTTGCCCTCAGGGAAATTTTCAAATTTTTGATGAATTTCGAAAAAAAATCGATGGAAAATGCTGCGTAGTACTTTCTAAGTCACAAACAACTCTTATAAATATGTCTTCAATCTAGTTTTAGTCCAGTTCACAGTAAATATTTCGTAAACATAGCCGAATTTCCCAAAGATTTTTCCGATTTTCCGCGATAAATTGAAAGGGAACATTGGCTACCACCGTAATCAAAATGTCATCTCTTCTTTATCACTCTGCGTCTACTATTTTTTCACGAACGTCTCTTTCTTTGTTGTAAGCGTTATATATTTCGCTCCTGGTTTTTTTTTTGGAATAAAAAATACAAAATGTTGAATGGATCGGAGTAATTATTGTAAATTTTAAAAAATCAAAAAAATATTTTAAAAAAAATTTTTTTTAATTTTGATTTTTTGGTCATATTTTTTCGAATTTTACGATTTTTTTGGGATTTATTAAGGGTTAAATTTATTTAATAATATTTATTTATTTTTTTTTTGATTTTAAAATTAATTTTTATACAAATTCTCAAAAAAAAAAATATTTTTTTTAAAAATTCCAATTTTTTATTTTATTTTTTCATATTTATACACAAATTTCCTCAAAATTTGTACTGATACAGATCGTACGGATTGATCATTCCGGCCGCCGTCCCAATCATGTAGTTCTGCTGGACTTGAGCGGCTTTTTTATTCACATACAGATTGGCCTCTTCCTGAGACTTGGCCAAGTTCTTCTTGTAGCGAATGCGCTTGTTGCCGAACCAATTCGCGACTTGCGAGACGGTGATCTGACATTGTCGCGCCAGCTCTTCCTTGGTCTCTTCACTGGGATAGGGGTTGTTGAGATGCGAGTAAAAGTATTCGTTGAGGATTTCGGTGGCTTGTTTTGAGAAATTCCGACGTTTTCGTCTGAAAAATTAATATTTTTTTGATTTTAATATAAAATAGTCATCCGTTAATCGAAAAAAAAAATTTCTCAAAAAAAATATTTTTTCGACCAGTCGATTTTTGTAATGGTAATTAAAATTTTTTTTTGGCTAAAAAGATAGTCTTGCTGTAAAACAGTCATCAGTAAATCAAAAATTTTTTTCAAAAAAATATATATTTTTTCGACCGCTCGATTTTTGTAATGATAATTAAAAATTTTTTTGGCTAAAAAGATAGTCTTGCTGTAAAGCAGTCATCAGTAAATCAAAAATTTTTCTCAAAAAAAAATATTTTTTCGACCGGTCGATTTTTTTGTCTATAAAATTCAATTTTTTATTCTGGATTACTGACACTAATTACTAATATTTTCATAAAGTGCGTAGACGGATTGAAATACCATCAATCTGTCGGGAAAATAATGAGCGCAATGTCGCTGCGCCAATCGTGTCGCTGAAGTGAAAAGCAATTTAATTTTGACACGAAAATCCATTTCCTTGGCGGCAATACGACTTTCAGTGGGACAGAGTGCTCATTATTTTCCCGACATACTGATAAGACAATTTATAAACTTTTTTTCCTACACATTTACAGCATTTCTTCACGAAAGAACAACTCACCTCGCGTCCAAGAACCTCGACCTTAGCATCATCACATTCTCACAGGTGGACTGCTTCAACTGCACTTGAATCCCACTAAACTTGCGCTGAATTATCATCACCATTCGGTCGATTTCCAGCTTCGAAATGGGCCTTGTGTTGTTCTGCTCGAAGAGCAGGCTCTTCACATGATGCGTGAACTGATTGCTCGCCTCCTGATACTTGTGCAGCTCTTTGTGGTAGGTGTCGCGGATCTGCTGCAGTTTCTGCTTGTAGTCGGCTTGGTCGGTGGTTGAGGCGTCGCCCGAGGGCTGGATGTTGCGCTCCGGGCCCGCCACGCCCTCCGCCGCCAGCATGTTGTCGAGCCGCATGAGTTGGGGGTCGTCCATGCACTGCGTATCGTCCATGGGGTAGCGCATGTGGGGACAGAGCTTCTTCTTCACCTCGCACAGCTCCGAATACAAGGCGAATTTGTAGGGATGCTCGGAGAGCTGGGTCTTTCTGGAAAATGAAGGTTTTGGAAAAAAGGTCGTCAAATATATACAGTGAGGGACCTGATCCAATAGCAAAAAACGTCTCCTTTTGCATCCCGGAAGAGACTAAAATGACTCCAAACCATTCCCTTATCTAAGCTAAAAAACTCCGCTTTGAAAAGCGCGCTCTTTCCTTCAAGGCGGGCTCTTCAAAGCGGGGTTTTTTAGCTTAGAGAAGGGAAGGGTTTGGAGACATTTTGGTCCCTTCCGGGATGCAAAATGAGACGTTTTTTGCCATTGGATCCGGTCCCTCACTGTACAGGGTCTTACAAAAAACGTGATGGAAAGTGGAAGGCTATAACTTCCGGCGGAGGCGGCGCAGAGATTTCGTATTTGAAATATGTATTTTTAAAAGACATTAGTTTTTGTCTACGAAATAACAAGCTCTTAAAGACCCTGTAGTGCATGGCATTCTGTACTTTAGGGACACAACCTATCTCCACGACTTTTTCAATTTTTTTTCGGAAGCCCTTGCTTTCTCTCTCCATATCTCGCTAGCCGTTTGAGCTACAAGGCTAAAATTTGGCATGGCAGTAGAGTAAAAAGCCAGCTTTCGGAAAATATAAATATTGTAAGGAACCCCGTCGCATAAAATTTGCAATGACAATTGAAAAAATTTCATTTTTAAAACTTCTGCAACCCAAAAGTGCTAATGGAACCAAAGACAATGATGTCATCAAAAACTGATCCAACTCTCAACAAAAACTCAACTCTTGTTTGGTAACGAATATAGGCCCTTTTTCGTGTAAAATACGGTGTAATTGCGCCCCTTGTTTCGTCTTGTTTGTTGTAAATGGGTATTCTAGCAGCCTAATAGCGTTTGATATAGGATTTTCGACCGGCAAAATTTTTTTCACCCTCGAATTTTTGCATTCTCTTTTTGCATCAAAAAGGACGCAGATTTCCCAGGATTTCCCTCTCTTTTTACAATTTTCATTTTGGCGAGCTGCGCCCACACGAACTGCAAAAAACGGCTGAAAATCAATAAAAAATGCCGGGGCAACCTTAGCTAGGACTATATTACGTCAGCATCGATGGTTTTACTCAGATTTTCAATGAATTTTCAAATTATGCCCTCAGGGAAATTTTCAAATTTTTGATAAAATTCGAAAAAAATCGGTGCAAAATACTGCGTAGCACTTTCTAAGTCACAAATAACTCTTATAAATATATTTTCAACCTAGTTTTAGTCTAAGGAAAAAGTTCCTTATTTTGGCCACAACAAAAGGTACTACGCGAACTGCGCCCAAGCTTGGGCACTAAAGTTAGGAAAAAACGCTTCGACCTAGCTGGCACTGAATTACTATAATAGCTCTATTGTCTTAAGGGTACCTACGAAGGCTGTGACGACCCATTTAGTTCCATACGGAGGCAATAAGTTTAGTTCCGGACATGTTTCATCGTATAAAGTGTAAAATCACAGGCTGCAGCCGTTTTTGAAGGGTAAGATGGTACGTAAAAAAGAAGCTACCTCACTAACTAAATCCACTGTCCGGGCATTGAAAACGGTAAATTGAGCGTGCACGCTAAATTTGGGCTAATTCCGGCCAGTTTCCGCAAAGTTATAAGTTGTGGCCAAAATAAGGAACTTTTACCTAGTCTAATTCACAGTATGTATAGCCTATTCTTGACGTATGTGCAAAGTTTCATCAAAATCTGAGCGTCGCACTTGGAAGGTTTTAGCCTCAAAACACGTCACTTTCCTACTCCTCTTTCCTCCTTTCCCGCAGATTAAGAATTCCCCATGAATTTGCAATAGGATGTTGGAGAACTCACTTAATCGCCGCCGTGTCATCTAGCGGTTCGTTTGCGACGATTTGCAGTTGCTGTATGAGATCATCGATGGTCATGGGGTAATCCGCGGAGCTCGAAGGGGTGGATGTCATCAACCTAGGCGAAAATAATCATTTTTTGGTTAAAATACAACCAAAAAATCGGTAAATTTCCTCGAAAAAATGTTGAAAACTTGTAAAATTGGTTGTAAAATACGCTATTGCCAATATCTTGAGGATTTTAAAACTTTAATTTTACAGAAAATGGGCTGAAAAGCTCGCTGAATATCCAATAAACAGCCGTCATGGGGAAGAAAAGTTGTGCTGAAGCTCAAATTTAATTAAATGCCCGTCCTCAGCCGGCCAAAGTTGAAGGCTTTGAGGCCGAGACAGTGCTCATTTACATAAACTTCACGGCTTTTAAAAACAAGTGCGCAAAAGAAAAGGGGGAATTTGTCCCATAAATACCGAATAGCAGACGGTTTTAGGACGAATACAAGGCGGGAATTTGAGCGCTACGACTATTGGGGTCAGCTACTTTTCCGATCGACGATACGATGGATCTTGTCGGTTTGTCATTGTATGCATGGGGAGGCTAGGAGAAGGCCTAGTTAGTTGGAATAATGAGTTTGATTGGGGCTGAGGATAGTTTATTACATACTTATTTTGAGGTTTTTTACATGTACTCACATCAAAAAAATCAAGGTAAAAGTTACAGATCCCTTGTTTTTGCCACAAATTTTGGTCTTTTGTATGTTACAATATCTCAGGGTCAAGAAAACTGACGTTATTAACCCTTTCCGGACGAGTCGGCACGTACTGGTAAAAATGAAAGAGGGTACCCTACTGAGTAACGGCATAATAGTGGTTCAGCCCATCGAAGCGTTATTTGGGACTTATGACAAAAAATGTCCTAAAAAGTACCCCCATTTGACATATCACTTTTAAAATTTTTGCGACAAGCTGTAGATCGGAAACTACCCCTAAATTAAAGCCGAGGAGTCCTAGTATTGTTACATCCAAGAACTGTCCAAATCGGAGCACTATGGGATTTGTTATCGATTTTTGGAAATTGAATTTTTAATTTTGGTCAATTTTGGACCTAAAATCAAGTATATCTTCCGCCGGTATCAACCATTTCGTTCCAAATTTGGTTTTTCCGAATCTATTGTGATGCTAGCTTCTTACTAGAATATTTCCAGAAAAAACCTACGAGGCGTATTTCTGTAAAACGCGGAAACGTTGAAAGTTTAAAGGTTTGATCGTATAAAATGTCGCCGCGAGCCGCGAAGGGGCGGGCGCAGCTTGAAACGAGAAAATAATAATTTTTTCTTCGAGAAATATTATTTTAGTGTCGAAAAGCTGATTTCAACACGAAATACAGGCAGAAATAGCACGCAAACATTACATAAATGTCATTTTTATATTTTTACTCAGTTTTCAGGCAATTTCAACCGATTTTAATTTGGTTTCACGCTAAAATCAAACTTCCCGAAAAATTAAAAAATATTTTCTGGTTTCGAGCTGCGCCCGTCCCTTCTCGGCTCGCGGCGACATTTTATACGATCAAACCTTTACACTTTCAACATTTCCGCATTTTACAGAAATATGCCTCGTAGGTTTTTTCTGGAAATATTCTAGTAAGAAGCTAGCATCACAATAGATTCGGAAAAACCACATTTGGAACGAAATGGTTGATACCGGCGGAAGATATACTTGATTTTAGGTCCAAAATTGACCAAAATTAAAAATTCAATTTCCAAAAATCGATAACAAATCCCATAGTGCTCCGATTTGGACAGTTCTTGGATGTAACAATACTATGACTCCTCGACCTTAATTTAGGGGTAGTTTCCGATCTATAGTTTGTCGCAAAAATTTTAAAAGTGATATGTCAAATGGGGGTACTTTTTAGGACATTTTTTGTCATAAGTCCCAAATAACGCTTCGATGGGCTGAACCACTATTATGCCGTTACTCAGTAGGGTACCCTCTTTCATTTTTACCAGTACGTGCCGACTCGTCCGGAAAGGGTTAATAGCTAAAATTAGAAAAAAGTGGACATATTGCAAGTCTCCGCCGAGCCTCCGCCGAGGGTCCGCCGAGCATCCAACGGCCATGCCAGGCCTCGTAGGACCTCCTACAAGTGTTTTCTAGGCCCAGCCGGTCCTAGGCCCCGTGTCCATGGATTTTGTGCCGACCCGAACTGTCGTCGATAAGAAAATTCGGGACGCAAGAATTTGAAAACAAGGCGCGCCAACAAGTTTTGACATGTTTTTGCACGGTGCGGTGGCATCGCGAAATGGCGAAAAATCGACACAATAGAGAATGAAAAACGCACTGTGCTTTGATTACCAGTCTGTCGTTGCAGCAAATTTCAAGCCGCGGCTTGCCGTCGCAAAGCAATGAAAGCGCGACGAATCCACACTGCAGGGTGCGGCAATTTTTCGGCCGGATTTTAATTGGCCATAACTTTTTTAGTTTTTGGGCAAATGTTAAAATTCTTTTTTTCCCTGAATCCATAGACAACCCCATTTCGTTTAATATCAAACATGTTATATCCGTTTATTAGACTACAGTAAAAATTCGAGACAAAGAAAAAGCTCTAATTTTCATAGCTGACAATGGAATTACCTCTAGTTTTTCTGGCGATTTTCACACACGCCGAAAAAGCAGAGAAAACGACCGAAAGGCCAATAGCTATGAATTAGGTCCCTGTATATATAACATATTTGGTATTAAACAAAATAGGGTTGTCTGAGGATTCAGGGAAAAAAGAATTTTAACATTCGGATAAAAACTAAAACAGTTATTGCCAATTCAAATCCGGCCGAAAAATTGCCGCACCCTGTACTTTCCCGACAGACAGATGCTTTGGCATAGGAAACTGTGGAAGTCTACAAAAGCCAAAAAAGCAAAGCAACATTAGATTCGCAAAAACGGGTAAAAAGTCTTCGTTATGCTCTTATATGTATCTCTCGCAAGCCAAAAATTTCCAGCTATTGATATTTGCTGTGTGGAAAACCTAAAGAAAATTTGAGCACCAGATTTGGGGCACTTCCCTAGTAAATCTCCACCAAGTTTCATCAAAATCCGAGCATTACTTTTAGAAACAAAAAAAATAAAAAAAACAAAACTATAAAAATCCAAAAATTCCGTTCTCAAAACGCCGGATCCAGCCACAAAATAAAATAGATCGCTGTGAATAAAATTAATATAAAAGCGGATGAAAAAAAGTTGAAAAAACAGATGGGCGCGCTTCTCGAAACCCGATCGCCTCGCCAGCTGTGCCTTGCGTAATCGGCGGGACAATTCATCGCAAAATCGGGCGAACCGAAAAAAGAAAGAAAAAATGTTATAGAAAGATGAATAAAGACTGTTGTTACCTTGTAAATGATGCGAAAGCAAATAAATTTCAGCCGCTTTTTTTGTAATTTTTGAGTGATAACTTTTTCTCCGCAATAAATCAAAAGAAGCCGCGCCGGTTGTAAACAATTATCAGCAAATTCGGGCGTTCCGGGGGCGGCGATGAATTCGCAGATTGGGGATGAGGAAAGTGTGCGGAGAATTGAGTGGAAAACAACAACAGATGCAGTGATTGGGGGCTTATAACACTGCAAATTTTGGGTGGGGTGATGTTTGGGGATTGGCTTGAATTTGGTAGGAAATGCCTATGTTACAGTAATCTGAGAGACTTAATTTTCAAAAAAATGAATTCCCAATGGTCGAATACGTATAGAGGCAACATTTTGGGTGATTTGCTCTTTCTATGACGTAACCAGGTCGAAAATTCCAAAAAAGACAAATTTAAGCAAATTTATGCCTTCCGGGCAGAACTGAGGAAAACTGTTGTTTGCTTTTCCTTAGCACATGTCGGCGGTCATTTTTATGCAAAAAACTCAAAATCGATTTTTTTCCTATGTCCCGGGCCCATTACGGGCTGACGCAGCGAGCCGAAAATTGTCTTTTAGCTACGGACTTTATTAGCACGTTTCTTTGGCCTCTAGACTTTCCGAGTCGACGACAGTTCAATGAAAAATCAATCGATCCGGAGCGCAAGGCAGATGGATACCCAAAAGTTGCACAGTGGGGGATATGATCCAGTGGCAAAAAACGTAACATTTCGCATCCGGAAAGTGTTAAAAATGTGGCAAAATGCTTCCCTCTCCAAGCGAAAAAACTTCGTTTTGCAGAGCGCGCCCTTTTTCCTCACAAAAGAGCGGGCGCACTTTTGAAATCGGAGTTTGTTTTTTTTTCACTTGGAGAGGGAGGTATTTTGCCACCTTTTTTGAGCCTTCCTGGATGCAAAACGGTACATTTTTTGCCACTGGATCAAGTCCGTCACTGTATGGAGGGCCTAGGAGGCCTGACAAAGCCGCTGGATGGTCGGCGGACGCTCGGCGAAGGCTCGGCGAAGACTTGGCAAAGAAGCCATATGTCTAATTTTTTCTAATTTTAGCTATTACTAACGTTGTTTTTATTTACCCTGAGTTATTGTAACATATAAAAAACCAAAATTTTGGCCAAAAAACAAAGGTCCGTAACTTTTATCTAGCTATTGTTGATGTGAGAACATGTAAGCAACCTCAAAATAGGCGGTAAGCTATCCTGGGACCCGATCATTCTTATTATTTCTACTAGCTAAGCCTTATCCTAGCCTCCATCATACATACAAAATAGATGATGGATCCAGTCGAAAAACATTGCTTTTTTGCATTGCACATTTTTTAATTTCACATTACAAAAGTTCAAATTTACAGTGTAAAAAACATTGTGACAAAAAGTCTATGCATTTTATGAAAAGCCTAGTAATATGATTGGCTCTTGGAAGCTCTGAAATTGCCTGTTATACACAATTTTTGTTGCATCGCAGCTCCTTATATGGAGTTTCGACTGTAACACATCTTTTTTGAAGGCTCCGCTACAGTAACCCACTTTTTGCAAGCCCCAAAAAAATTTGAAAAAAAATGTTTCCAATCTTCAAAAAGCAACAGGTTCGTGATGAAAAAGCGACGAAAAAAGATAGCAGAGGGTTTGGCGCGTCAACTGCTTGACACTTGCATGGAACCAACATAAATCACTGAATGAAATAGGCGCGAAAAAATTCGAAATTG